TGCTTTCTGCGGCGGGCGTGTCACAGGGGTGGGGACCCAGCCTCGGGGTTCCCCAGGGCAGGACGGCCCTCCAGCTCCTGGGGGAACACTTAGGGGGCAGATGAGCAGATGCACTTGTGGAAGAGGAGGAGGAGGAGCGGGGGGGGGGTCCGGTGAAGCGGGAAGCCCCCTCTTCCCTCTGCACTGGGGCCAGAGGGTGGGGGGTGGTTCTGGCTCTCCTGCCTGCAGAGACGCTAAGCTGCACCCACCCCAGGTTCCACCTCCAGCCTCACAGCTGGGAGACGCCCTGCGCGGCCTCTGCACAGCCCCCGGAGGCCCCGCCCCCACCCTGCTGGACCCCGGCTGCCTCCTCCCGCCCTGCAGCTGCAGTGACCATCCCCACCCCAGGTCCCGTTTGCTCTCTGCTCTGGTCCTGCCCCGAGTGCAGGTGGGGGCGCTCTGTCACCTCTCCCTTCTCTGTCCCCGTCCTCCCCGGCAGAGAGGAGGGGAAGGGTCCCCTCGCCCAAGGGTGATTCTCCCTCCTGGGCCCTCCCATGCTCTGGTGGGTGGCCTAGGTCCGTGGCTGTGTTGAGTGAGGGGCAGGCAGCCAGCCCTGCTCTCCGAGGCCCAGGCTGGGAACACAGGAAAGGTCTGTTAGGCCTGTCACCACCAGGTGGCGCCCTCACACAGGTATTTCAGCCCCTCAACCCTCACCCGCATCAGAATCACCACCAGGACGTCCCAAGGGCTCTTTTCAGGACCTGGGTTGAGAGGGGTGAGACCTGCATTTCTGACAAGTCCCCAGGTGACGCTGATGCTGCCGGTCCCAGGACAACGCTTCAGGGCCACCGAGGCAGCGAAGCCAGTCCTGTGCCCACTGCCAGCACACTCACCTGGTTTGGGGCTCCAGGGCCCACAAACTCAGTGAAGCTTCCCAACAGTTGGGCACAGCAGCCCATTTCACAGATGAGGAAGTGGAGGCCCAGCTGATTGGTGTGGGGTGAGCGGTAGAGCCCGGATCACTGCTCATCCTCATCCTGAGTGTGTTCTCTTTCCACTGTCCCGGGGGCGTGGTGGGGTGCAGCGAGAACTAGGTGTTAATGAGGCATCCCCATTTCTGCAAGGAGGGCTCTCTAATGCCCGTTTTTTACCTCGAAACCCGAATGGGTACGTTTCTTTTCCACTGTCCTCCATGGAGGTTGCCATTTCGGTAGCATTTCTGCAGATGATCGGAGGAGGGCCCCGTTCCGTATTCAGGGTCCTGAGTCTGTCCACCAGGCTCGCCTGAATGAAGTACTTTGGGAACTGGGGATTTTTTAAAAAAGACAGGAATACCCTGTATGGGACGCTTGGATGACAGAGAAAAGACACAAACGTGATTCGTGGCCTGGCTCCTTCTGTGGCTGGCGTAGAGGATTCTTGTGATCTGTGCTGCTTCTCAGGATAAGTGTGGATTATTGCTAGCGCCTCATAAAGTGGAATAAGAGATGGAGAAGGTGAGATTCCAGCAAGGAACACCTGGAAAATGAGTTATTCCAGGTGGAGGGACCGTGCCGCCAGCTCAGAGGTGGGGGCAAAGGACGACGGTAGCCAGACGAGCGGGCGTGCACCTCCTGGGAGTGACCCTGTGCCTCCCTCCCCACCTCACGACTCCTCGGTGCCAGCGGACGGTGGGGACGGAGCCTCATTTGTCTGCAGACAGGGCACCGGTTCTCCCACCCGGGACCATTCAGAAATCCAGCCTGGCGCGGAACTCCTCTTGCCTTCTGCTCCCTTCACGCTTCCACATTTTCCAGGTTCCGGGCACAGGGCCAGGCCGGCGGAAGTCAGGGAAGAAGGCCCAGCATCGTCCTGGCGGTGATTAACTCGGGCATGCAGGTTCCCGCCCGTGCGTTTTTGGGGAAGCGGGGTCAGACGAGTTGATTAGTAAGTCATCCTTGGAAACATATGAAAACTTATTAGTAAGACTTTCTCTGGAAAGGTGCACACCCCGAGCAAGATTATTTTTTTAATTAAAAAAATCCCAGGGGTTGTTGTGACAAAGGCTGGCAGGCACCACAGACAAGTCCAGCAGGATGCTAGTGGCAGCTGCTCTGAGTTATTCTGCTCCGTGTTGGTGTCTGTGGTTCTGCGCACGTCTCGGTTCCCAAAGGCTGTCGCCGTCTTCCCAAAGACACACGCTGCTGCACTCTGGCTCCACATGCGCAGGGTGGCCCCGTTCCCTTTTCCATTTAGGTGTTTGAAGCTTCTTCTTTTTACAATTATTTCATTGTTGTTCAGTTACAGTCGTCTGCATTTCCCCCCACCACTCCCCGCCCCTGACCCCAGCCAAACCCACCTCCCTCCCTTGCTTCCACCCTCCCCCTTGGCTTTGCCCACCTGTCCTTTAGAGTAGTTCCCGAAACCCCTTCTCCCCACTGTCCCCTCCCCCTCCTCCTCTGGCTATTGTTAGGTTGTTCTTCATTTCAGTGTCTCTGGTTATATTTTGTTTGCTTCTGTCTTTTGTTGATCAGGTTCCCGTTAAAGGTGAGGTCATATGGTATGTGTCCCTCACCACCTGGCTTATTTCACTTAACACAATGCCCTCCGGTTGCATCCATGCTGTCACAGAGGGTAGGAGCTCCTTCTTTCTCGCTCTCTGCTGCACAGAATTCCATCGTGTGAATGCACCACAGATTTTTGATCCACTCATTGACTGATGGGCAGTTAGGTTGCTTCCAGCACTTGGCTATTGTAAACTGTGCTGCTGTGAACATTGGGGTGCTGAAGCTTCTTAATAATTGGCTTTGTGCGTATGGTTAACAGCTTTGCTGCGTGGCCGTGGATTATCACACGTGATGCTCCTGCAATAACGCGTGTGTACTTGGGGACCACCGACTGGGAGGACCGAGACATCGGAGGCGCACAAGGGGGTTTTCCATCGCAGTTCATCCGGAAGGCGCGTTTACACGGGACAGTGCGTGCTCGGCCCCAAGCGCTGTGACTGCGTGGCACGCCCTGTTTGTGGAGTGGACCTTGACCTACTGTACAGTGTGGGCACCGCAGTGGCCGGTGTGAGCCTACGGCCACCCCTCAGCACAGGCTCAGGGAGGCCAGAGATGGTATTTTGTTTTGTGTTTTTTAAAATTTATTTATTTATTTTTACTCCTTACCCGAGGATATGTTTATTAATTCGAGAGAGAGAGAGAGAGAGAGAGAGAGAGGAGGTTGAGGGTGGGGGAGAGAGAGAAACATCGATCGTTTGCCTCCCATCCGAGCCCCCAGCCAGGGATCAAACCTGCAACCTTTTGGTGCATGAGACGACCCTCCGACTAACTCAGCCATCTGGCCGAGACTTTTCTTTTTTCTTTTTTTTTTTTCAGTTTTTAAATCAACTCTATGAGGTGTCATTTGCACACAGTAGAAGACCAGCAGACACGACCTTGAAGTAGGCACCCCGCAGCCCGTCCTTCCGACGGGGCCGCACGGGGTTGGTTGACTGAAGCCGAACTTTGGCGGCCGAGAAGTGTCTGCACGAGCGCGTTTGCACCCTGCGCTGCTCCTGCGCCCTCAGCGTTTCCCTGCGACACCCTCCTCCGAGGTCGTGTTGTTTCACGGCTGAGTGGTTTTTATCGCTGTGGGTTTTCCATAATGTATGAGCTTTCCTCTTCACGTCAGACATTTTCGCTTATTTGGTTCCCGAGAAGCTTCAAACTGTATTTAAACGGTCGGCACACCTCTGAGTCAGTTATTTTTCTCCTGGCTCTTTGCTCTTTGTCCGCCGGCCCCTGTCCTGTCCTGTCTGGGGAAGGGCGAGCACTGGTGTGAAGAAGAGCTTCGTCCCTCCTCCTGCCTCAGGGACTCTTTCAGGCGGATGCTTCTTGTCTCAGCGGCGGGTTCTCCTCAGTGTAGCATTGGGCCCTGCGCCTCTGAGGCCCTCGCTAGCTGACCCGCCAGCAGGCCACACCCGGCACTTTCTCCTGGGAGGTCCGTCCTGCTGCAGCGGGACTTCTGGCCCTGCAGATTCGGGGTGGTGGGCCACAGCCTGGGGGCCTCCTGGCCATGCACAGGCCCAGGGCCTCGCAGCCCAGGGGGCCAGGCCTGTCGTCTGTGTGGTTGACCAGACGCACGTCACTCTGATGGCCTCTGGCTGGTGGATTTGACTCAATCAGGAGACAGGTTGTGAGGGGGTGTCCCATCGTGTGGTTGGACATTTGTCATTTCTCCCAGAGGGGCCAGGTTGAGCGTGGAGGTCGCTGTTGTCGTCTTGCTCAGCATCTGTCACCTCAACAGTAGCCTCCTCCCTTCCTCTGCTGGGACTGCTGGTTCCTGTCTTCCTGCTGGCTGGGTACTTTTTACTCTTTTTATAAAGTTCAGTGCAGGGATGCTGCGATTTGAGCCAGCAGAGTGGGCTTTGGATATCGGTGGGAATTTGGCACTCACACTCTAGTGGGCCCTGGTGTGGTGTCCATGTTGCAGAGGGCATGCACAACCCATACCCACTGGGGCCCGAGACCCAGGGATCTGCCTAAGCCAGCGTTGTTAGCGGAGGTGGTTCCAGGTCCCTAAAGCCAGGCCTGCTGGGAGTAGCTCAGACCTGCTGGGAGCAGCTCAGGCCTGCTGGGAGTAGCTCAGACCTGCTGGGAGCAGCTCAGGTCTGCTGGGAGTAGCTCAGGCCTGCTGGGAGCAGCTCAGACCTGCAGCCAGGGCTGTGTCCAGGCTGGAGGCACTGGCTGGTGGAGGCAGGACTTGGCTCCTTCCTCCTCTCCTGGGCCTGTTGGCCACCTCCCCCCCCATCTGCGACCTCCTGCCCACCCATCCCCCCGCTCCCACGCTGATGATGGCAGCCTTACAGAGGATACACAGCTGGTTAAAGCCCCACAAGGACCTGGAGTTAGAGTCCCTGGCTCTCCGTCAAACGATTTTTCTGCTCACAGTTCTACAAAAATCCCACCCCCACAGGGAGCCTTGGGGAGGAGACCGCCTCCTGTGCGCACCAGAAGGGATTCTGCCCTCCTGATCTGCCGGAGGGGTTTTGACGATCTAGGTGTTTCAAATGCATCCTGTGCTTGCACCAGAAACCTGTCACTGATTTTTCGGAGCCTAAGCGGTTAACGTTAGAAATTGTGCTGCAAATACATTGATCAGTATGCGAGACAGTTGTCGCGGCTGAATCATGGTCCACAGTCAAGGTAAACAGATCTGGGGACGACGTGCTCTGAGCAGAATACAAATGGAGCGCGTTTCCGCCCAGAGGTCCCTGGCATTCCTGCTGCACGGGCCGCAGACCCTGCCGGGAGGTGCCGGTCGCAGGGAGGAAAGGTCCCTGTGAAACCTCCGGGACAAGGTAGGGCTGTGAGGTTGGGTGTGCTGTCCGCGGGAGGGACGACCCAGGGGAGAGGGCCGGGGAGGGAGGGGCGTGTTCTTGGGTTCGCTGCCTCCCCCGCCTCCCTCCCCTCCCGCAGAGAGAACCTCCCTGGTTTTCCCGTATGTTCGAACAGTCATTAGGATACTCTGTTGTTGCACTGTGCAAGTGTGCATGTCATTAATTGTTTTTCCGATGAGAAGATGAAGGGGCGTCTAAATGACCCACGGGAAAGCGTGGGGGGCAGAGTGCGTTCTCATTTCCTTGTGCTCCGTGCGTACGTAATCCTCTCGAGTGTCTGTGCGGCCTGTGGTGGGTCCTAGGAATTCCGTGCAGCAGGTCTGCACGGCCCCATGAGGCAGCCCTGGCAGGTGCTGCACCGCACACCAGGTGTGCTTTCCAAACGATGGGGAAGCTTTGAAAATCCTCCCAATCGTTACAAGCAGCTGGAAACCTCGTAGCAACTTTGTGTCCAACAGTGCTTCCTGGGGCTGGTTGGTATTTGCACTGGGGTCTGCCTGCTGTGCGTATGGAGCGATTTCTGCTCGTCTGTGCATTCATGGTTGGTTGCGACTGGGGGCGCCGAGCAGAGATCTGTACAAGAGGGCAGAGGGTGGCGGCACGTGAGGTGGAGGATGATTCTAGATCTTGCAGAGTTGCAGTCGTGGGTCAAAGGGCCTGGGCAAGGGAGCACGAAGGGGTCTGCTCAGAGATTCTGGAGCCATGCAGAGAATACATTTAGGAAAAGGGCACCTTTCCTCTCTTGCTTGGTTGCTCCTGATGCTTGTCTGCCCTGCGCTGCCGGGATAGCACAGGGTGGCCTCCTCCAGGAAGCCTTCCGGGATGCTCCCAGGGGTCCCCCCTCTCTCACCCAGCACGCGGCTCTCAGCGTGAAATTACGCAGCTATGTGTCTGCCTCGCACCCAGGACTGAGCCTGTCAGAGGCAGGAGGGGGGTGCTTTCGCCTTTGTCTGTGTTCTAGCACAACTGCCGACTCAGAGTGAGAGCTTTGCTCTTGGGGTGCTTGCCTGGTGCTGGGAGCAGAGCCCCCGTTTTCTCCGGGCCACCCTGGGTGGAAGGAGTGACCCCAGTAGCCCCATTGCTTAGTCGGGGCATAGGTGGAGACCCTGCGTGACGTCGTGTCGGAGCCAGAGCTAGCGCCAGGCCACCGTGAGCACATGCCGCCCCCTGGATAAACGGAGGGAGGGTGATGGGGATGCTGCCGCTTCTGCTCGGTGGCGCCCCCCGGCTGCAGCGCAGGGCGTGGCAGATGTAGCAGGCAGCACCCGCCTCCCTACCTTCTTCCTCCAGAACCCGCGCACCCTGGTGCAGACTCCGAGTGGGAGGGTCAGGTGACCAGGCTCTGTGGCACCGTCCCTTTTCGGCTCTGACATCACCCCCTCCTCCCTGGCGTCCTCTTGTCAGCTCTGCCGCTCGGGCCGAGTCGCCTCCCGCCTGGACGGCGGTGCCGGTCATTCACTCCCGGCAGGTACCCCGAGAGCGGCTGACCGGGGAGCAGCCAGCCCTCGGCCTGGCGGTGAGGAGGGGGTGGCCGGGGCAGGCTTGTTCCGGACGCTGGCGCTGGAGCTGGCCTCGAAAGACCAAGGGGAGTCAATCCGGGGAAGAGGGGGAGGCAGCGTGTCGCCGCAGGGCGTGGCCTGTGCAAAGGCCCTGCGCTGGGAGGGACCGCGAGGCCGGGGCTGGAGAGGCGGGCAGTGCCCTGGCCACACACGGGAGGGGCGGCCACGGCAGGGAACTCCGGCTTTGTGCCGCGAGCCGACAGTAGCCATCGGGGGTGTCAGCAGGGCCGGCGCGGCCAGACCGGGCTTCCGCGGGGTGGGGGGGGGGATGAATGGGAGGGAGACAGTGGGTGCCCTGAGAATGGCCAGCCGCCGCTGCCAGAGGACACACAGACCTTCAGGAGGGGACAGCAGGGCCTGGGGCCTGGGGTCGGGAGGCAGCGCAGAGACGGGACGGGTGCCAGGCGCCGGAGTGAGGTCACCAGCTGCAGACCAGACAGAGCAGAGGGGGCTGTGAGAGGACAGGGGTCTGGGGTGAGGGGACAGGGGGGAGTGGCTCCGGGCTGGGTGGGCCCTGTGAGGCGGGCGGGAGGGAGGGCAGGGGGCCCCCGGAAACCAGGGGAGGATGGTGCAGATGGGGCCGCGGGGGCCGCACCCGCAGAGAGGGAGGGGGAGGAGGAGGGACTGTCGCCTGGACGGGAGGTGCAGTAGCTCGCCTGCGGAGAAGGGGGGCCAGGTCTGGGGACAGGGCTGCAGGGAGAACGGGGTGGGGGGGTGAGGAGGCCGAGGGGGCACAGATGCCCCCTCCCCCCTCGCTGTGCTGAGCTGGTGCGTCATTGGGGCAGGGAAGGGGTGGGCCTTGGTAGGTTTGCATTGATGACTCATGCCTTCCAGCCTGAGCTCTCCTTAACTCAGAGGCAGGCGTGAGGCAGTGGCTTCAAAATGCACAAGTGTGTTGCACGCTACAGGGGCCGTGCAGCTGCCAGTGCTGCACGCCCCCACACTCGGGACCTTTACAACAGGCCAGGTCAGCGGGACTCTCAGGATGTTTGTAATGGACGTTGGTGTCTCCAAGAAGGGCAGTGACTTCCTTGCTGGCCACAGCGCCCTTTGCTTGCAGAGTCTTGAGGACCTGGTGTTCCCTGGTGGGACGGGGGAGGTGGTGGCTCTCGGGGGCTTCACGAACCCGCCACGCTTCAGGAGGAAGTACAGACGCCTCGTCCGCGGGAAGCTGGTGGTCAGGGGGGTACGAGGTCCAGCCGCCCAGCACATTGTCCAAAGGGCAGTGGGTTACTTTAAGAAAGGCCTTTTTTTCCTTGAATATTTTTAAATGCTTAGTTGGTTTAAAAAAACAACACCCAACCGCAGTCACTCTCAGACTTTTGGAAACGTCATGGAGCAGCTAAATTAAGATCTTGTTTATCAGCATCGTAAAATTCTCCGGAAAGTTCGAGGCAGAGAGTTCAGATGGACCTCAGGGTGTTTATCGGACACGATGTCTTTGGGTGTAACTGCGGGTCAGCGTCAGAGCCTCCCGCCCCGGTTTCCGGGGGTGGGGGGTGGGCAGAGGGTAGAACCGTGCCTGCCTGCCCGCCCACGCGCCCCGGGCACCCGCTGCCCACGCCCCCTCTTCCCCCTCCGAAGACACCCTTGCGGCCTGTGGCGTCCCTCCTGCCCCGGTGCGAGCTGAGCTGAGAGAGGCCAGCGCAGTGAAAGTCACTCCCAAGGACGGTGGCCGGGCCCAGGGAGGCCGTTCAGGGACTGGCCGAGTCCTTTCCTGGCCCCGGGCCAGGGCGCCCAGGTGCAGGAGCCCCCCCAGGGCGGGGAGGGGGAGCTCGGAGGCCCTGCCGGTGTTGGCGCCAGGGCCGCCTGCGTTAGTGTCGCCTCCACGGCCTCCCTCCGTGTCCGGCTGGTCAGAGACAACAGGCCACACGGCGGCCCACAGCGGCGGCGCTTCCGCCAACACCCGACCGGCCGTCTTACTCCGTAAACATTCGGTGCCGCTCCTGGCTGTGGGGCTGCCGTCCCGGCTTGCGCTGCAGCCTGGGGACGCTTTTGTGCCCCCCGGGACCCCACTCTCCTCATCACGAACGTAGGGGCCGTGGGGGCTCTGTGCTCAGAGTTCCGAGTCCAAATTCAGGGTGGGGAGCGGCCTTTCTGCTGGGAGGTGCGTGCCCAGGGCGAGGGCGGAGCACCCGCGGGTGCTGCCTCGGAGACCGACACGTGATTCTCAGTGGGTTTGCCCGTCAGGGTTACCGGGTTGCTGCCAGGCTGGTTCCCTGAGGGGCCTGGATTCCTGGACGTCTCACCTGCCCCCAGGTGCTAGGCTCTGCTAACGCTTTTCAACCTTTGAACTAGGTGCGGCATGCGGCCTGGGAGACCCCTGTCCGGAGCAGAGGGGGGCAGTGTCCGGACGGGAAGGGCCCCCCCACCCAGTCACCTGAGTGACGACAGTCGGGGCCCTGGGGCCTCGGGCTCCCCTCCTCCGGGCGGTGCTGCTGGTGCCGTGGGCCGCCCCCCCCCCATCCTGTTCCTCTGGGATTGACACAAGCTCTCGTCTCTGCTGACTTCCAGAAATGGCCTCGGACATCCCCGGCTCGGTGTCGCTGCCCGTGGCGCCCATGGCGGCCTCCGGACAGGTGCGGATGGCGGGGGCCCTGCCCGCCCGCGGAGGGAAGCGGCGTTCTGGGTAAGCAGCCCCGGCGTTTCCTGGGACTGGGCTGAGTGCACGAGGAGCAACACCCTTGACCTTCTTCTGGGAAATACTGTCCCTCGCTGCCTGCGCTGGCCGGCAGCAGCCCAGCGGTTTGCCCCCTGTTCCGTGTTCTCGAGGTCGCCAACCGTGCACATGATCGGCCTCTAAGCGTTTTGGGCTCCAGCACCCTGCTGGGCGCTCCTGCGGGCTTCTCCTCGTGGGGAGCACGAGGCCCGTGACCCTGGGCCCCGCTCAGGCCGTCTCTCCGAGGGAGGGGCTGCTCCCACCCGTCCAGCTCCTGAGCGCCAGCCGAGTCAGCCGCAAGAGCCCCCTGCTGCCCGCTGCCCTTCCCTCGGGCGGCCGGTCTTGGGTGGGCAGTGTGCGGGCACCGTCCCTTTCAGCACACGGGCACCCACAGCGGGGCGGCTCGCAGGGTGCGCCGCCCTGCGGGTGATGCCAGCAGTGCAGGGGGTCCCCGCAGGGCCAGGAAGACCCTCCCTCTTGAGCTGACGGAGCCCAGGGCGCGTCTGCCCGAGCGAGCGTGTCCTGTCTCAGGCTCCACGTCGGACAGGAGGCCCCGCGGGGAAGACGCAGCCGAGGTCCGTCTGCAGGCTCCGCGGATGGACGGCCCGGCCCCACCCCCTCACCGAGTCAGTTTTACTTTCAATGAAATATCTGGTGCACAGTGTTTCTTTTGAAGTGGGATCGGTTTGTCCTATGAATGCCATTTCTGATAGCACAGCCCGCCCCCCACCCCGCTGTGACAGCAGAAGACACTCGTGGGGTCCGAGGCCTGCTGGGTGGGTGCTCGGGGCGGGGGCTGCTATGTGTGGAGACGGGAATGGGGTGGGTTTGGAGGGAAAAGCACGTTCAGGTTCAGCATCACAGTTCGGGCTGTAAAACAGCATGTTGCTCCCCCAGTGCGGCCCTCAGAGGAGGGCCCGAGGCTTCCGTGGTCCCCGGAGGGCAGACGGGGCTGAGAAGGCAAGCACTGGGGCCCCGCCTCAGGGTGCTGCGGCCGCCCGGGCCCCACCCTCCTGGTCTCTGCGATGGGGTGCAGAGGGTGGCCGTGTCCACGGGGCCACGCTTGGTGCTGCGGAGGTCTCCGGGGAGCTGGGCAGTGTTGGGCGGCGGTCCCCGCCCCCGGGCCAGCCTGGGAGGGCGGAGGCTGCAGGCCCTTCCCGCTGCCTGGGAGTCCAGCGCTGGGCTTCTGAGGAAAACTATTTCTGAACTGTCTGCAACCCATTAGGCCCGCGTCCCCCGCCAGGGCTGCAGGGCTGTGGTGAGACGAAAGGCACGGTGCTGTGAGCCGAGGCCTCACTTGGCCGCTGGGCTCTCGGGCCCTGGCAGCGAGGGGGCCCCGCCCGGCCCCCCTCCGAAGGAAGAGCGTTTGCTGGAACTGGTGTCTTGGCCCAGCCTCTTCGGAGGTCATGAGCGAATTCCGCCTGGTGACTCACGTTCGATGAAGCATTATCGTTACACAGTCCCTGCGAGGGAGACTCACACCCCTCGCCGTTCACGAGCGGCAGGCTCGGAGGGAAGGCCGTCGGCGGCGTCCGCCGGGCAGGACAGGGAGGCGACGCGAGTTCCTCGCGGCCCGGGTTTCAGAGACGCTTTCATCTTCCGCTCGGTGTCCCCAGTTCTTCCCAGTGGATTGGGCACCGCTGAGAAGTCCTATTTTTGGTTTCCCTCCTCGTTACCCAGACGCTTCAGTGTCATCGAGGCAATAAAAGGCGTGAAACGAAGGGTGATGAACTCAGAGTCTTCACAGCGGAAGACGCGAGCGTGAGCCCTGGCGGTCCTGCCTGCAGGGCTCGGGGAGGCCCCGTCTCGTGGCCCCTTATTTTTTGTGGACACACCCGGGCTCCCAGATCCCCAGAGGCCCCGAGAAGCCCCAGGCACTGTCCCTGTCTCACACCCTGGGCTCGACTGCGCTTCCGCGGCCCACACTGGGACCCCACGGGAGTCCCAGTGGAGTGCGGCTCTCGCTTCCGCGCCTGTCTGCTCCGTGGCCGTCCAGGCAGAGGACAGAGCTGCCCTTACGAAAACGAGGTTGGCCAACTGCTCCGGTGGGCCCGGGACTCCCTCGGTTGGAGCACTGAAGTCCCGTAGCCCAGGAATCCTCTCCGTCCGGGAGGTCGGACGCCCTGAAGCTCCCAGAAGGCTATGCGGGCCTAGGAGGTAGCGCTGCCTCGCCGTGCCCGGTGGGAGCCACACTCCTCTCAGTCGGAGCGAAAAGGCACCCGAAAGGCTCCTGTGCCTCCCGCGTCCTCTGCGGCTCGGCCCAGTGCTCACCCACACCCGCTGGAGCTTGGAAGACTCCAGAGGCCTCCTCCGAGATGGTTTTCACCGTCCAGGATGCTCCTTCCCGGAGGAACACCAGGGGGCGGTGTGGCTCTGCGTCTGTGCGGATGCTCCTTCCCGGATGAACACCAGGGGGCGGTGTGGCTCTGCGTCTGTGCGGATGCTCCTTCCCGGACGAACACCAGGGGGCGGTGTGGCTCTGCGTCTGTGCGGATGCTCCTTCCCGTACGAACACCAGGGGGCGGTGTGGCTCTGCATCTGTGCAGAACCCAGCGGCGTCTCCCCGAGTTGAACTTCTCGGAAAGACGAGGTGGCGGCCGAGTCGCCGTGCAGAGCAGCGGTGGCTTTGCCCCACTTACCAAGTCGCGCATTCGGGACTCGCTGCAGCTGCCGGCCGGTGCGAGGACGCCCCCAGCCGCGCGGTCGGGGCGTGTCTGCCCCTCCCGGTGGCGGGTCTGCTGTCCTCAACCCTGCCTGCCTTTTCTCCTCACTTTTCCTCCTGCGCCCGCGTCTCTGCGCGCAGGTGTCTACGGGGCCCTGACCGCCCTCTCTCCCGGGCGTCTCTCTCCCTTCTTCTTCCGTCCCCAGCAGCGGGGCGGCCCTCGCGGCGGCAGTCAGGGCTCTGGCAGGCGCCCCCAGCGGGCTGAGGCCCAGAACGGCGGCCACACCACACGCAAACTAAACAAGAGCAAACCCGTGACACCATCTTGTTTAAATGTTTTCTAATCCTCACCTGAGGACGCGTCCATTGGTTTTTAGAGAGAGGGGAAGGGCGAGAGAAAGAGAAGTGTCCACGTGAGAAAGACACGTCAGTCGGCTGCCCCCCTTCTCCCCGCATGTGCCCCGGCCGGGGATTGAACCCGCAGCCTTTCAGTGTATGGGACAGCGCTCCAGCCACCTGAGCCACCTGAGCCACCCGGCCGGGGGTCCTCATGATCCCATTTTAAAGAAGGAAATGCTCCTTTGCCCTGTCTAATCCCGGTCCCTGTGTCCCCCAGCTACCCCAAAGCGCAGAGAATACGGCCCCTCTCGTGAGGGATGGGCTTGGACAGAGCGGCTCTTCCTGGGCAGGGCAGCTGGGCCGTTTCCTGGCGCCCTGGGCGTCCTGTGCCTCTCCCAAGTCACCAGGACCCACGGAGCCCCACCCTTGGGACCAGGGGTGGGGACCAGGCCCCCCGGGAGGCCAGCCGCTCCGGCATCTGCAGCTGCGGCCTCTCCACACACCGCTCTCCGGGCCGTGCTGACCAGGACCTTCCTGGTCCCCGCGGCCGGGCCGCCCCTCTGCTCGGGCTTCCTGGGAACGGCGCCTCACCTGGCCCCTCGGCCGCACGGAGAGCAGGACGGGCAGGGTGGCGGCTCTGAGACATTCCTTCCCGAGGACCCCGCCCCCACCCACACGTGTCCCGGGAGCCGAGCCGTCCGCACCAGCTCTCCCGTGGCTCCCGAGTGCCCTTCAGACTAATTAAGCCCCCGACCTCCTCAGCGGTGACCCCACGGGTTCCAGAGAGGACTGGATTCTTGAGGAGAGTTCGGGATGTTATTTAAACAAATATCTATCAAGACGTTTTGTTTTATGTTTATACTGAGAGGCCCAGCAACGTGGGGACGTGAGTGTTTATTCAGGGAGTTTGAACCAGCAGATGGCCACGTCGAGTGGCTGAGGCTCCCCACGGCCACGTCCCTCCCCCACGTCCACGCTCTGGGGCCCGGAGCCCACAGCAGGGCGGCCCCGAGTGTCCTCTCCTCGGGGGCTCCCTGGGGCCGGCGGGGTTCCTGCGGAGCACCGGCAGCCGGGGGTCTTCCTCAGAATCCCTCCATCGCCCCGAAAACTTCCCGTTGTCAACACCCCCCCCACCCCCGGAGCTTTTTCACTGCGTTGACGCGTCACAAGAGGAAGTAAGAAAGGAAGGCTCACAGCGGAGGAGGTGGTGCGGGGGGGCGGTGTCCCCACGATGGGGGGAGGGGAGGGTCCCGCAGCAGCAGACACCCGCAGCCGGACCGTCGGTGCCGCCCGCACGAAGGCCCCGAAGGCCTGTCCTCTGGCCTTTTCCTGTCCCGACCCTGTGTGGTGACCGTGGAGATGCCGGTTCCCGCTCCGCCCGGGGCTGGGCCGGGCGGACAGCCGTCGGACCGAGTACAGTCCCCCCCCCCCCCGTGCCCGCTGCTCCTGTGCCCGGTGAAGTCTCCTCCCTGGGGTGATGCTCACCCGTGTCCTTGACTTTGCAGAATGGACTTCGACGACGAAGACGGGGAAGGTCCCAGCAAATTCTCAAGGTGAGTTCGCTTCACATTCCTCAGACCTAAAGGCGCCCGTGGCCACCCCTCCCCCGACCGGGCGGCACTCGGGGTTCAGCGCCCCTGGTCACCGACAGCGCGTTCGACCCCCACGCCTTCGGGGCCCGGTGACGGGGGACCGGCAGCAGCCCTGCCACCGCCCAGCCCGGGTCGTCGGTGGTAACAGAACAGTCACTGCCCATGTCAGTGGGTTTCTTCATAGAAGACAGACCTAGAGTTCAAGTTAAAGTAACCAGGGGAGAGAAGGCCTCTTTTCCTGCCACAGAAAAGGAGGAGAAACGTAGGAAACCCAGGTGGCCCCGCTCCACCCGGGTGCGGAGCCTGAAGCTGGACCCTGGGTTCCTAGGAGGTGTGTGGCTCGGGGACCCAGCACTGCGGCTGCCGCCCAGGTGCAGGGGACTGGCCCGCAGATGGGGGGCTGGCTGGCAGGTGCCGGCAGCGGCCCATGAGCCTTGTGCAGGAAGGCGAGGGTGGGCCAGGCCCCATGGGGGCTCGCCCTTCTTTCAGACACTTTCTCTGGCTCCGTGAGTCCCAGCGGGAAGTCCAGCAGGGCCGAGGGAGGGCGCAGACCGTCCCCACCGGTCTCAGCAAAGCGCCCCTCCGGACTCACGTCCCCCGTGGCAGGGCTGCCTGGACGTCCGTCCCCGCCTGTCACCCACACGGTCCTCGCTCTCGGCTGTGGGAGAACGCAGACACGGCCCCCGGCGGACGGGCAGGCGCCTTCCTCCAGCCGCCACACTCACGGGCCAGGTTGACAGCCTCGGTTGTTTCTCAGATGTTCTTAGAAGAACGGTGTCTGGGGGGAGCCCTGGGCCCGCTGGCCACCCCCGGCTGGCCCGTCCCCCAGTGGCCATCTTTGCCGGCGGTCCCTTCTGCCTTTGGTCATGGATGAGGCTCAGGCTCCCTGAAGCTGGACGGAGCGTGCGCCCCGCCAGTCCCAGCACCTCCCGGGGCCTCCCACCCACGGCGGACCACCCGTCCCGGTACACACCGGGCCCCCGAGGCCGTTCCCTCCCCCTCCTGCTGTGGCTACGGGCAGGGCAGGGGGAGGGCGGAGCACGGCCGGCACATGACCTCCGACGACCCTCGCGCTGCTGATCAGAACAGGACGTGAATGTGACAGCAGCAGTGTGTGCACGGCTTGTCCCCGGGTGCCGGCAGGGCCCGCCCTTTCCCGGGGCAGCAGTGCCCTCAGGTGTCAGGGTCAGAACGGTCCTCGCACTAACGCACCGTGCCGCGGTGACTCAGGAAGCGGCGGCTCCTGGGGTCTCAGAAAGGGGCAGGGATGTGAGGGGTCAGTTTGTGCGACGTGGAAGGTCCGTGTCCGTGACAGAAACCCCTGGCAGGGGGACCGAGGAGCCCTGGGGTCGGGGCCGTCGACTCACCGTGGACCCACCGTCGGAGATGAGGCCCCAGCCTCGGTCTCCCCCCACACGCTGGAGATAAGACAGGAAGACAGACAGGCTTCCCGTCGTGGAGTCTGTGTCCCGTCGGGTAGCCGAAGGCCCACCCGTCCGGGGGCGCTCGGAGCTGCTCCGAGTTGGGGGGCGTGTCTGAGGCTGCCCCCCACCCCGTGGGCTTTGCCGGTGGCTGTGGCTGCTGTCCAGGGGAGGGGTGTCAGTTCTTGGTGCTTGTCACAAAGTCCCCGGGCTCCTGGGGGACGATTCCAGGACATTGGGAGACGAGACAGAGGCACCTGCAGAAGCCCACACCCCGCCCCCAACCCAGAGGCCGGAGCCCCCTCGGGTGTCGGGGAGCCAGGCCGCCAGCCAGGGTGCGCCCCGAGCGCCCAGCCGTCAGGAGCGGGCGGTCCTGCTCCCCGGTCACCGGGCGTCACCGCCGTGCCGCTCCGTCCCAGGAGCCCTAACCCCCGCCTGACGCTTCTCTTTCTCCCCCCCTCCCCCCGGCCCCTGCCCGCCTGCTCCCGGGAAGAGAGAACCACAGTGAGATCGAGCGGCGCCGGCGGAACAAGATGACCCAGTACATCACGGAGCTGTCGGACATGGTGCCCACCTGCAGTGCGCTGGCCCGCAAGCCCGACAAGCTGACCATCCTGCGCATGGCGGTGTCGCACATGAAGTCCATGCGGGGCACCGGCAACAAGTCCACGGACGGCGCCTACAAGCCCTCCTTCCTCACCGAGCAGGTGCGGCCCGGCCTCGCCGCCGCCCCGGGGGGTCCCGTCTCCCGGGCAGCGAACGCGGCGTCCCGCAAACGCCGGCCGGCATCCGAGCGAGGCGCCCGCCGCGCGGACCCAGGGAGAAGCCAGCCAGCCTCGCGCCGCTCTGAGGGCCGGGCGGGGGGTGGTGTTGGGGGCAGCCCCACCGCTCCAGCGGCGGCAGGGGTCGCTGTGGCTGGCCCTCGGCGGGCCTTTCTCCGGGAGGCCCGGTCGGAGCAGAGCTTTCCGTGCGCCGGGCCCTTCGCCCCTCACCCCTCACCCCTCACCCCTTACCCGGGCCCGGGAAGCAGCCGCTGTCCCTCATCCCTGTTTCGTTCCGGCTGTGGCCAGAGTGGAGGAGCAGAGGTGGCCAGGGGTTCCCAGGGGGCATGCCCTGCGGGAGAGGCAGCGTGGGCGGCTGGGACGGAGCCCCTGAGTGTGTGTGGAAGGACAGGCCCGAGGGGTGGGGCCCGAGGAGGACCGTGAGCGGGCGCGTGGGGCAGGAGTGGGGGCGGCGGGGGTGTGGGGGCGGGCGGTGCACTCGGCGGCTGCCTGGGGTCTGTTCACGGCCCAGGGGTGAGGGTCAGAGCGAGCACGCAGGACGTGGAGACACGTGTCCCCCCGGCCCCCGCCCGTGCCGTCATGTGGCCGGTGTTCTCGGTTTTCCTCGTCCCAGTGGCCCCCGGGGGTCCCTCAGGAGCGCGCCTCGGAGTGGAGTGGCCGGGAGGCCGGGGGTGGGGGCGTGGGGGCTGGCGGACGGGGGCGTCTGTGGCGACGGCGAGGACAGCGGCGGGAGGAGGAAGCTCCGAGTGTGGGGAGCGGGAGGAGTGGGTGGGCGGGCCGCCCGGCAGAGACCTGGTGTGCGCCGGCTCCCCGCGGGGGCGGGCAGGAAGCCTTTCTCTCCGTGTCTTTAATTCTTGCAAAAGCCCCGCTGGGTCCGTTTCGGGAGTTCGCCTCCCCCTGGCCTGAGAGGGGTGCGGACGACGAAGGCGGGGTGTAGAGAGAAGGCGGCCGTGCAGGCGAGGTGGGGCCCCCCCCACCCCGTCGAGTTTCTCGCTCAGTGACCCGGCGCGTTTTTCGAGAACAAGGGCCTCATGGGCCGAGCACGTCCTGTGTCCCTGACACACGAGATCTCGCCTAACCTCACCCCAATGCTCCCTGCGGGGGGCGGGGGGGGGGAAGGGTGCAGACACAAGCTCAGGAGGTGAAGGCAGGGCCCCCCCCCCACAGTGCAGCTGCACGGGGATGGGCCCAGAGCCGGGCGTCTCTTCCTCCCAAGTCCGAGCCGTCTGCCTCGCCGTCGGGTCCACCGAGAAGGCAGGCCAGGCTGGTTCCGGTGTCCGGGCACAGGACCCTGGCGGTGGGCGGCGTGCTCCCAGGAGGCAGGAGCTGGGCGGGTGCGGGGCTCTGCCCCCGAAGCCGTTCCCACAGTCCAGCCATCGGGGCGGCGCCAAAGACGTGAGGTCACCGGCTGCCACCGCCGCCTCCGCCGGCAGGCGCGGCCCCCCCCCCCACAGCCCTTCCTGTGGGGCGGGGCTGCCCGGCGCCGGAAATAGACACGCTGACCTGACGGGGCCTCCCCACCGAGTCAGCGTCTCGGGAGCAGAAGTGCAGAGCAAGGGGAGCGGGGGAACCGGGCCCTTCCTCAGAAGCCCACTTCCGCCCCCGTTTCCCAGGCGGGGGTGGCAGAATTCTGGCCCAGTCCCCGGCTCCGTGACCCTCACACAGCCCCCCCTCCCCCCACCGGATCCGCTCACCAGCCGGTCCGTGGTTTCCGATCGTCGGGAAGGAGGAAGGGCCGGGCCTCGTGCAGCGGGCCCTTCCCCCGTGTGGCAGAGGCCTGTGCGCACACACACACACACACACACACACACACACGGTGACCCCGGGGCAGAGGGTTCCCACCGCGGGCGACTGCCAGCCCCCCGGCCCAGAAGGACGGCTGTGCTGTGTCCTCTGGGGCCCGAGCGGGTGCCAGGCGATGGGAGGCGCACCTGGGGGCTCACCTGCGCGTGGCGGAGCTAGCTCCCGACGCCGGCAGGTGCAGAGTCCACGTCAGCAGCGGCAGAGGGCTCCTGGGCGGGACGTGGGGGCGACGCGGTGGGCAGCGGCGCCTGGGCCGCCTTCAGCGCCGCAGAGAAAAGACGCCTCCCGCTCACCAGCCCGACGCTGCCCCTTCCACGCGCCTCTCGGGCTGCCGGCGCGGCTTCCTGCCGCCCCTCCCCTGACCCCACGCAGCTTCCCTCCTGCCTCTGCCGCCAGCCCTGAGCCCGGGCAGTCGGCGCGGCTCCAGGACTGGGGCGCAGGCCCCCGTCCTCGCCGCGAGGCGACCTGCACGGTGCCGCACGCCCTGCCACCCCCTGGGGTCACGCTGGGAGTCTGTCGAGGTGTCGGCTCTCAAGCTGTTCTGGAGGTTTGACAGGCGGGTAGACGTAAGGTGATGCTCTTACGCCCGGGGCCAGCACTCTGCTCGGAAAGTCCAGGAAGCGAGGGGACAGGGTGCCCCGGCTGCGAGCGAGGCCCACGGTGGGCGGGGAGTCACGCAGTCCCCTCTCCGAGGGTCCTCTCACTCTCCCGTTCTCTTTCCCTCCCCCCACTTCCTCCTTCTGCCCCAGCCACACGGCCGCCGGTGGGGTAGGTGGGTGAGACCATTCGCACGCCTCTGGCGACCACTCCTTGTCCTCTCAGCCCCCTGAGCGGGCCTCTCCTCTCTCCCCGCGGGGTGGGGGGGCTAGTTAAGGCAGGGCCAGCAGTGTTGACCGTAGCCACATCTTAGGGCTGGTACAAGCTCTGTGCCTTTTAAAAATTCCATTTTGCAATAAAAAAGAGAGATCAAACTCTCCAAAACTACGAGTGTATCACCGCAGGTGTCGGAAGGAAAGGTGAAGGTTGCCAACGAGAAAACGGAACCCGCCGGGCCGGGCCGGGGTGGGCCGGTGCTTTCTCCCAGCGACGGTCTTGTCTTTGCAGGAGCTGAAGCATCTCATCCTGGAGGCGGCCGACGGGTTCCTGTTCGTGGTGGCGGCCGAGACAGGGCGTGTGATTTACGTGTCCGACTCGGTCACCCCCGTGCTGAACCAGCCGCAGTCGGAGTGGTTCGGGAGCACCCTGTACGAGCAGGTGCACCCCGACGACGTGGAGAAGCTGAGGGAGCAGCTGTGCACCTCCGAGAACTCCATGACAGGTCAGTGCGGCTCCCTCTGGGGGGCGCCGTTTGACCCTCCAGGCAGATTTCTTTCAGCAAACAGATCAGGAGGCCGCAGGTCGGAAGGAGCTGCCTCGAGGTGAGTGGGTATTTGAGTTGGCTTCGGGGATCCTATCCCATGAAAATTCATTTTCAATGTGATGCTTTCACGCCTCTGCATTTTGCCTGCAATTAGAGATGCTGCCACAAGAAGGCGCTGTTGACACAGTAGCCAGAGCCACATGCTCTGTAATGAGCGAGGTTGGCGCCTCACTGTTGGTGACCCCGCTCAGGGGCGTGTACTGCCCCGGCCTCAGCTGCCTAAGATGAAGTTCCCCTTTGGAGACTTTTAAATGCGGTCAGTTCTGCTGTGACGACACGCATGTTCTACGGAACAAACCTGCCGCGTGCAGGACTGCGCGGCAGAGACCGCGGGGCTCTGCCCGCGGGGGGAAGCGGGTCGGGAACGCAGCGCCCGCACGCCTGTGAGGGGCGGGAGGAAGCAAGCACACACGGGGCTGGTGAACGTGGGGGCACGGCGTTCATCAGCCTGCGTCGCCCCCCCACAGCCCCGCCCTGGGGTCCTGGGCGTGAGGGTTCCCATGCACGGACGGGGGCGGGGCACACCCCGCCCGGCACCCCGACGGGGGGACCGAGTCGGCTGCGGCCCGGCGTGGCAGAGGAGCCGCTGCGTCCGCACCGTGCGTCACGGCGCTTTCCTCTGTGTCGGCGCGACTGGCAGGAGGAGGGGAGACGGGAAGGCGCGGGGACCGGGTGTGGGTGTCTCGTCCCTGAGTCTCCCGAGGGGGGGACCCGGCCGGACCCCGAGCGCCACGTGGGCGTCCAGCAGTGCGGCCGAAACGGGTCCGGGAGACGTGCCCGCGGCCGCGTCCAGCAGCCCACGCGGGAGCCCCGGGGGCCCCGCCCGCCAGAGCCCGGCGTCTGCAGGGAGGTTAGGTCCCCCCGGCGCGGGCGGCCGGGCCCCGCGGCCTGTGTTCGCCCACAGGATGTGGCTCTCTGGCGCTCCGTCGGGGGCCCAGCTGGGGCGGATGGCCGGGACGTGGTGGTCAGGGGCTGGCCGGGCTCCGGCCAAGGGCTTAGCTCAGCAGCTCCCCGGGGCTGGGTGGGCACTTCCGTCCGTGGGAGGCCTCCGTGCGTCTGGCATGGACTCAGAAGGCCGTGCGGCCCACGTTTGGAGAGAGGTGTCGCCGTTGGCCTGGGCCCTGGACGGTGGCCACGGCGGCAGAGCTGGGGCAGGGGGAGGAGACCGGGAGCGGTGAGCCGCCGGGCTCCTCTCGTGGGAGCAGGGTGGGCCGGGGCAGTGGGCCCGTGGGCCTGGGGCGGCAGAGAGGACAGGGCCCCTGGGAGCCGCTGGCACGGGGCAGGGCCCTCCGGGCACGCACAGCCGGTCTGGGCAGCGTGCCTCACTCTCCCACGGGCCTCGGGGCCTCGCTGCGCGGAGAGCAGGGCTTCGTGACCAGCCCGAGTGCAGTGGAAACCCGCGGTAACACCGCGCACGGTGAAAAGATGCGATAAAAACCTGCCCTAAAACCCCCCGGGGATGACCTGAAGCTTCTGGTTGTGGGACGAGGGTCTCCGGAGCCCTCCTGTGCCCGGGCACGGTCCCTTGCAGCCCAGAAAGCGGTGGCGAGACTCGCCCCAGTCAGGCACAGACACAGCCGTCACCCCCCTCTCGGGCCCACAGCTCCGAGCCTGAAGGTGGACACCCCGGGGGTCCCCAGGGTCCTGTGGGAGCCAGCAGCCCTCCAAGGGTGGTCCCTGGACCGTCTGCGCGAACCTCACTTGTCGGCTCGCTGTGGGGGCAAGCTCCCGGCTGCACCCCAGACCCACCGGGGCAGAGCTCCGGGGGCCCGGGGATCTGCGTGTGTGCCCGCCCGCCCTCTGGGTCGTTCTGGAGTTTGAGGACCAGGGGTCCCAGGAATCCGGTCCCCCCGGACCGAGGCCTCTGCAGCTCGGAGCACGTCAGGCCCTTTGATGTCTGAGCTTAACTCTCCTCCTCACGAAGATGGGCCGACGCGGTTCTGTGCGGTCCCGTGTCGGCTGTGGGAGGGAAGGCAGGCGTGTGTCTGTCCTGCCCTGGTGACGCTGGGCAGGTGTGCTCTGCAGGCTCCCGCGTCTGAGCAGCACCGCACCCCGGGCCCATCCCAGGCCTGTCCCCCAGGACCTGCAGGGCACCTGCGTGCACCTGTCCATCAGAGAGGCCCCCAAGCCAAGGATTTAGCTCGTTGTGGTGGGGGCGCCCTCTGTGCGGGGACTGGCTCCGAGGGGTGGCGTTGGTCCCAGGACACGGCTGTCCGGCCTGCGTCTGCCCAGCTCTCGGTCTGCGTCCAGGCCGTCGGGGGGGGGCAACAGGAGGAGCCTGTCTGCAGGCCACTGCCCAGGGCTCAGGCCGCCCGGGACGGGGGAGGCGCGGTGGCCCTCGGACCTCGGTCCGCACATCGCCGCAGACTCGGCAGGAGGCGTGCAGGGTCCCCGGGCAGCGCCCCCCGCGGCGGAGCAGGAGGACGGCGAGGACCGGGGCGCGCCCCACACCGTCACCCGGCGGGGACCCACCTAACACGGACACCCGGGAGGGTGCCTGACGCCACGGGGGGCCGCCAGCGTGCACGTCAGGGAGGGAGCTGACCGTGGCCACCGTCGCGTCCCAGCCCACCCCAGGCAGCTGGGCCTCCCGCCTCACGCTTCGCTCAAGGGCCCGAGGACGAAGGCGTCTCCGGCTCAGCCACAGCCGAGCGGCAGAGCCCTTCGGCCGAGAACGTCAGGCAGAGGACCGGTCCCTGGCGGGGGAGGTGGATCCTCAGACTGCGCAGCCCCCCCCCGCCCCCCCCGCGGCGTCAGGGCTGGAGAAGGAGGGTCGGTCGCGAGGGGAACTCCGTGAGGGACGCCCGCGCCCGTCCAGCGCACGCATGGGGTCCTTGGGACGCCCGCGCTCCGTCCCTGGGCCAGCGCCAGGGGCTGGGGTCCTGGGCGCACCCGGTGGTCCACTGCTCGCCATGTTAGGTAGCTGGTCCACGTGGCAAACAAAAAAAAAAAGAGAGAAAGAAATATGAGTCTATCTGAGTCAACCACTATGACACTGTTATTTGAAATGTAAAAAAGTGTTCAGTGGCCAGAAGAGCGTGTTTGCGTGCTTCAGGCCCCTGTGGAGGGGGCACTCGGGCACCCAGGGGTGGGGGGGGCATGCGGTGTGGGGCCGGCTGCCAGAGGTGGGGGTCAGCGCGCGTTACGGTGGGACTGCACGGCCGGGGGTAGGGAGGTGGGGGGGGCTGGCTGTTCTCCGCGTCTCCGCCCCGACTCTCCCACTGGAAACCGCAGCCTCCGTCGCCCTGTTATTCCAGATGTTTCTCTGGCGTCGGCTCTTGAGAAACATTTAGACAACCGGCCTCGTGGTGCTCCGTCCGCTGCGGCGTGCCCAGCGCGCTCCCGCGGCCGCACGCGGTTCCTGTTCTTCTCTCGCGTTTTACGTTGAGAGATATTTCACGCATGTGTCGGGGTCTGCAGCCCCGGCGGCTGGGCCCGTTATCGCTGGGGCGTGCCGGCAGATAAAGGGGCCGGAGCGGTGTTCTCGCCCTCGCGGTGGTGGATGCCGGCAGGGGGGCCGGCTGCTCTGCAAGGAGAGGGGCTCCCAGCAGCTGTGTGTGTGTGTGTGTGTGTGTGTGTGTGTGTGTGTGTGTGTGTCCCTGCTCTCAGGGGCAGAGGCACCCCGTGACAGTTACACTTCGTGACCTTCTCTACGTTGGGTCAATGACTTGACCTCCCCCCGGCCTCAGTTTCCCCCCCGTGTGAATGCAGACAGCCCCATGCCCCCCCTCCCCCAGAACTGTGCTGGAGCCCGAGATGACGTGGAACACCGTTAACAGTTGTGTTTGGGAATTGTGAAGAGTTCACTCACTCTTCAGTCCTTGAAAGGTGGGGTTAAACGTCGGTACAGGTGGCGGGTTTGTCCACTGTTCACCTTGCGCCACCTTCTTTCCCTTCCTCCCCCTCCAGGGTGTGTCCTGGGGTTTGGGTGCTGTCCCCAAGGGAAGGCTTGCATTTTTTTTTTTTTTGTGGTGACGGGGACCTGGCCAGCGTGGGCCTGGCCCTGCTGGGCTTCAGGGCACTGGACCAGCTTCCAGAGGCAGGACTGGGGCTGCCCACCGGGCCCACATTTCCCGAGGCTCCCTGCACGGCTGGGCCCTGAAGCCAGGGCAGGAACCCCGATCCTTTCTCGTCCCGCCCCGGCCCCCTACGTGCGAGGGAGGGCGGGGCCCGTGAGGCCCAGAGCCGCAGCTGGCCGGGGGAAGGACCCGCAGCCACAGCGTGCCCGGGCTCGGCCAGGCCCGAGGGGCCATGCCCAGCCGTGGCTGTGAGTGACGGGCGTTCCATCCGTGCGGCTGCTCTTCTGCGAGAGAAGTAGCTGGGGAGCAGGCAGCCTCCTCCTCGGGGGGCTCATAGGGGCCGGGAGGCGGCCACGACAGTGCCCCCTCTGTTCTCAGAGTCTGTGCTCGACCAGGAGGACTCCCCCGTGGGCTGGAGAGCGAGCCTCCCTCCCCCCCTCAGACGAGGCCCTGGGTGTGTGTGTGCGTGCAACACGCTTCTCTGGCCACGCCAGACGTGGGTGAGCGGAGGGGGCCCCGCAGCCTCTGCCCGGCGGAGCCGCTGCTGAGCCGGGACCCGCATGCGGCCGAGAAGCTGGGAGCAGGGCCCCGGGCGGAGGACGGCCTTGCCCGAGAGTGACGAGTCCGCGCTGACCGCGGGAGCCAGTGCGCGCCCGTCAGTCCGTGTGCCCGGTGTCCGTCCCGTCCGAGGTGTCGCACCGGAGAACCCCGACTCCTGGTGTACCTCCACCACGTGGGCGTGTCCACGTAGAGGAGCCACGGGAGTGTGTCTTGGACACACGGAACAGCACCTCCCGAAGACCTGTTGTCGGAGTTCTCGTGTCCACGTCACATCCTTTGTTCGAAAGCGGGGACTTCCGAGCAGCTCGTCAAACACAG